CACTGACCTTCTGATTAGTGGCTGACCTGCTCTGCCACCTGAGCTACAGCCATCCACTCACAGTAGGTCATCTGATTGTTGCAGCTACCATAGAGTGAGAGACAGAGTACACCCTTGGCAGGTCACCAGCCTGTCACAGGGCTAACACAGAAATAAACAATTCACACCTGCAGGCGATTTAGAATAAAAAATTAACCTAACTCAACGTCTTTGGATTCTGGGAAGAAGTCAGAGTACCCAGAGAGAACGAAGGATACAAACTTATAGTGCTCACTGTGAGGCTGTTGATATTTCTCAATAAGAAGTGCCTTGCGGCAACAGTTGTTGTGATTTGGCGCTATAAAAATACAACTGAATTGAATATGTCTATACAAAGCATAGACACATTCACACAGATACAAAGCCTTTAAGGACTAAACTGATCTTGAAGGATCCATTTGTGTGTGTTACACCATGTTCAAAGGAGCATTGCTAACATTTTTAGACATCCTTTGATCACCTCAATTATTTATTATTAGAGTATAAAAGACTGTAATGAACAGTACACTTTACAGAGTCATTGGCTCAAGTTTTTAAGCTTTTTTACAAAGGCTATGGAGCTTGTTGTACATGTAACTGTCCGTTATCCACAGTTCAATTTTTTTTTTAATTTACCCCTAAAACATTAAGAAGTTAATACACCAATTTACTGCAAGAAACACCTTAAAAATAATCTTAGAAAATTATATCTCTATCTAGCTATCCAGCTATCTATCTATCTTAATAAAAAAAAAAAACTGCTTTCTTCCAGTTTTGTTGTTGGTATTTCTCAAATATTAATAAACATAATGTTGAAAAAAAAACACTGAAATGTAACAAAGCATGCAGAAAGAGTAAACTAAATATTTTCTTAATAATAACATGAATGATATTCAGCAGGCTTTAGTCACAGATGAATATGCCTTTTTTTATTCTGTCACTTATTCACCAAAAAGTTAATATTCAAATATCTCCTTGCTGGAAGTTAATGACCAGGTGAAAAACCAAACAAAAAGAGCTGCTTGAAAGGATTATGTATATTATCTCGCAAGACACACACGCTCACACTAGATGTTGATACAAAGGGAGGAGTTCAGTGAACTGTAAAAACTCTAATGGGATTTCCGACAATATAATTAACTAATGAGGCTGATGAAAATGACAGCTTTCTGGTAAACCCCACCAAATCTCCCCCCTCTGGTTTTTCGCATCTGCTGCTGCTCTCCTTCCATTTTTCCTCGACATTCATCTCACACATATGACTCTGTGTATGAGTGTAAGTGTATTCTTTTAGCTGTGCAGCACTTTGATCAGCAGCTGTCAGTTTTAAACATGTTAGATTAAAAAAGCTTGACATGACTTGACACAGATACTCAGCCAAGATTTTTCTTTCTCTATGAATCAGTAACACAAAAGAGTTTAATAACTTATTGTGGCGCTTACATATGATTAGAATTTTCTGCAGACTGCTGATTGTTTTTTATTCCATTATCTGTTTGACAAAGACCCTTCTTGTACTTTTGACCCTGTACACCACCATAGTTGATTTAAAACATAAAATCAACCTGTTTAGGAATTACAGACATATTTGTTTGAGGTCAAGTGACTGGCTTGGACACTGAATTATATCCTATTTTTTAAGCCCGAGAAACTCCTGGGTTGCTTTTTTAGCATGCTTTGGGTCATTATCCATTCGTACCGTAAAATGCTGTCTGATAAGTTTGGCAGCTCATTAGCTATTTCCCTCTTCCTCCATATTTTTCTCTTCCCATCATTTCTGTACAAGTTAGTCTTGATTTCATCTGTCAAAAGAACTTTGTTTCCAGAATCACGTTGACTCTTTTAGATGTGTTTTCTGACAAACTCGATGTGCCATTCTTGTTCCTGGGTCTAACCAGAGGTTTGCACGTCATTGTAAATCCTCTTTTATTTACATTCATGAAGGTGTTTCTTGATTGAAGACTCTCACAGTGATGCACCTCCCTCCCTCCTCAAGTGTTTTTTGGTTAGAAATAATTTTGACATCATGCAATTTAATTGCCTTCTGTGATCTTTTTAGGCATTCTGGTGTTGTTGAACTGGCTAGCACATTCATTCTTATTGAGAATGTACCAGACTGCTCATTCCATAAATATTACTGCTATCCTTCTGAGTTTTGTTTTCTTAGTCTACTGATGCCCTCCTTCATTTGCATTGACATCTCTTTGGGCCTCATATTATCACACAGTGTAAAGCTATAAAATAGTAAGCACTTTGATATTATCTGTCTCATTTGTCATGAAATAACAGAAAAAGGCCTAACCCAGGCATGAAACTGCAAATCCATCAAAAATGGCTCTAATTCCTCTAAAGTAAAGAGAAATTATTTTGCAGAAAGTCTGCTCTTCAGTCACGCATTGACAAGAATTATGTCTCAGTCCAACATCGCCAAAGTTTGATTCTGTTCATCTGGACGTAGCGTTTTCAGTGATTTACTTACCTGGATGATTGAGCATGCATCAAGATGTCTCAGTCCAACACATTTTGCATCTATTAACTGTATGTCTGTATGAAATTGGTTCTTTTATTGAATGTATTGAATTGTCATTTTAGATTAATTCATTATTATTTTTTAAATATCTCACTGAATAATCTATCAGACAAAAAAAATTACTAGAAATTACTCAACACGCAACATGTGAACTGTTGTATTCATTCTCTCCCCCCCCAACATCCCTTAAAAAAGCTGTAAATTTTCACAGCTGAGAAACTCAAAGACAATATGTCATTTTGGCTGGCGTATTATTCAAAATGAAAATTCACTTATTAAATTAGCTGGCTTTTAAAAAATGATTCAAAGAGCTGCACAATCAGATAATTTATTCCACAGCTAATAATTTTACCCCAGCGGTGTAAACTTCAAAGACGCACACGATGACATCAAACTCTGAGCGTCCATAATCACATATTCTAAATGTACTAACTTGTTTCCCTCTGCTGAGCTGCCTCCTGTAGATTTTTCCCTTGACCAGCGAGCGCATAAATCCTCTGCTCTGATCCATCCAATTTGCTGCTTTCACCACCTGCCTGTTCTGATTACAACCTGCACTCAGTGGGACGACTTGCTTGGAACAAAGATCAGCCTGTTGCGTGCGTCTCCGTGTGCCTGAGTCCACTTTACAGCCCTGTGAGGCTTAAACTGCAGGTGCACAACTTAATGGAAAGCTAATTAAATTTAGCTTCTCCTCAGTAAACAAGATGAAGATGAACATAATTCTGTTTTTGAAATAGTTTTGATGCAATTTATATAGACCAAGTGAAACAGAAAGCAAAAGAAAAATTTGTTTCATTTTTCCTTTTTTAACTTGTGATGAAAAAGGGAAACAAAAACACTTGAGGTAGCAGACACGTTCCTAAATGAAGGGACCATTTTAAAACTATTGCTGATTGGCTCACAGTGCTTCTGGTTAACAGTTAACCTTCTTTCACACCTGATTTCATGGTTACTGCCAGTTTCTCAGAACCAGTTTACTAAGGAGGTGCTGGAATTTCTAATGTGACCGTGGTCATTACAGGAATGTAACGGTTACACTGTGTTAAAGTGTCACTAAATCACTGTGGCTACTGATTTATTAGTGAGCCACAAAAATCCTTTTATTGTCAACCAGCGTAACAGACAAGAATGGTGGACGCTCCATTAATTAGGCAGGTCATTGTGCTTTAGCAAAGGGACAATATTAATGATTAAGCTGGTCTATAGTCATACAAACACTGCTTGTCGCTGACCTGGTAGATGTTAATTGGCTAAACCCTTCCCACATTTTTTTTCTTATAGTCTGAACCCCCAAGAAAGAAGCTTCTATTCAGTCGTAATGAAGCTCTTTCTTTTGGATCACAATGCAGATGTGTAATTGTGAAAGCTGTAAAAGCTGGAAGCCAACAGTAGAGGTCAGTATAAGTAAGGATACTGGAAACAAATGCAAAGTGTGTGTACTACAGTTGAAAAATTTATACTGCTTAACTAATACCTACTTCACTCTCTCTGCACATTAAGCACACTTCAGCCAGTATATATACTTTGCCTGTAGCAACACCTTAAACAAATATTTACACTGTATTTAAGCTGTAGAGGCTAATTTTCCCACATGGTTTTACTGTGCTATGTTACAGTAAGAACCGTGTGGTTAACACAGAAGCTACTCCACCTTTAAACCTTTAAACAGCATATACTGTACAAAAGTCTTGTGTCAACCTTCAAATGGCAAACAAGTGCAGCGGTCTATTGGAATGTGCAAAAACAAATGGAAATACAGTATAAGAGAAAAACAGAGTTTATACAATTGTAATGAGTTTGAAATTCAATATTTATTCTTCACTGCAGCCTGAAGTCTCTTAGGGAATCTTTTTTGTCAATTCTTTAAGGAATAGTTCTTCAGGCTTCTTTAGATGTTGACTGACTTTTGTTCTGTTTCCTGTTAAAATGAACCCTCACTGCTTCAATAATGTTGCAGGCTGGACTCTAGGGAGATCCATCCATGACAGTGTTTCATTGTGTGATTTCACTGCACATAATGCTGCGACATGCCACGTTTTTCTCTAATAGCTCTCACCTTGTTGGTACAAAACTGTTATTTCATGCCTGTCAAACTCTGCATTTTTTTTTTACAATCATCTAAAGAAATCTTAACAAATCATATGTGTTTGTGACAGGCTGCTAGTAACAAAGTGTCTAATTGACTCTAAGTTGGTTCATCCCTAAGGTTAGGTGCTTTTTATGCCTAAATGATTCATAGATCAGTATTCAGAGGCTCAACAAACAATAGAAAAAGACATTCCCATTAAATATATAAACTAGTCAGAGAGAAAAAAACTTACCTACTTACTTGCCTACTCACACACTTGATCAAGTGTATTACTTGACTACTACTGCTTACTGTCATATGCTGGCTGTGATTAATCCTTCTGTTTTTCAGCCT